CGCAAGGTGAAGCCCCGCGAGCCCAAGCGCAGCCGCGTCATCCTCAACCTGTTTGGTGATCGACAAGGGCCCGGCGGGCGGCGCGGGCGGCGCGGGCGCGCTGGCCCGCCCCAGCGTGCCCTCCCGCAACCGCGTCATCGGCAAGAGCAAGAAGTTCAGCGACAGCATCCTCCGCACCCAGATCCGCCACATGAAGTTCGGCGCCTTCGCCCTGTACAAGCCCCCGCCCGCGCCCCTGTCCTCCCCGGCGTCCGCGCCCGCGGGCAAGGCCGAGGGCCCCGGGCTGCGCCTGCCCGCGCCCGCCCTGCCCGCGCCCTACGACGCCCGCAGCTCCGGCTCCTCCGGCTGCCCCTCCCCCGCGCCGCTGCCCCCCGACCCCGACGACGCGCCCCCCAAGCTGCTCCCCGAGACCCTGAGCCCCGCCGGCCCCGGCTGGCGGGAGCCCGAGGTGCTGGACCTGTCCGTCCCGCCCGAGGCCCCGGGCCGGCGGGCGCCTGCGCCTGCGGACGCGGGCCAGGGCCAGGCTCCGCCCCCCGCCGCCGCCGCGGGAGCCGCCTCCGAGCCCGAGGCTGGGGACTGGCGCCCCGAGATGTCCCCCTGCTCCAACGTGGTTGTCACCGACGTCACCAGCAACCTCCTGACGGTCACCATCAAGGAGTTCTGCAACCCCGAGGATTTTGAGAAGGTGGCGGCTGGGGTGACAGGTGCTGCCGGGGGCGCGGGCGGCGGTGGGGTGAGCAAGTGAGGACGCCCCCTCCCCAGGGGCGCCCGCCCCGCGCTCCCACCTGTCTGCCTGTGCTTTGCTTGTCTCAGACGGCTTGGGGCTGGCCCTGGGATGGGATGGGATGGGCAGGTGGCCCCCAGAGCGCCCCGGGGGGGCCGGGCAGCCCTAGGCTGGGTGAGGGCAGGGGTGGGGCACACCCCCAAAAGTGCTCCCTCCTGTCTCTCAGGCAGCGTCCCTGCCTGTGCGCAGTGACACCCCGAAGCCTGGGTTCACCTGCTCACCTCCCACCCCATCTCTCCCTAGCTTGCTTCTTGCTCTCGTGTACAGCATCTGATCTCGGTGCTAACCCAGCAGCGTCGGGGCTCGTTGGGGACCCTGCGGGCGCAGTCCCATGCACGGCTTCCTGTGCATGGCAGCGACCCCCGAGAGCGAGGGCTCCGGCTGCACACAGTCCCGCCCTCCACACCAGCGTGGCCCCAGGTCCACTTCTCCGGGCTGGCCGCTTCTGGACCAGGCCCAAGCAGACCCCTTTGTGCCCCCGCCCTCCATGTCTTTGGGAAGGCCCTCGTGAAGGTCTGAGGGGCTGGCTAAGATCCACCAGAGGTGCTACTGGAGCCTGTTG